CTCATCGACAACTATATTCATCCTGATAGTTTTTGAAGAGGACTTTAATATTTTTCTATTTGTTTTTTTAATGTTAATCAATAGTCCTGTTTCTTGGGAGCTCAAAAACAAGAGTGATCAATTTTGTATAACCTTTAATAAGTTGCACAATGTTTTCCATCATTTATATTTGGATAAATAAATTAATATAAAATAATTAGTAAATTCTTTGAGTGTTCTTTTCTCTCTCTCACTCTCTCGCTATCTTTATATGTTAACTTGACCATTTCAAGTGTCAGCTAACTTGTGTTTTTAGTGTGTTGATCAATGTTTTCAATACAAAAGAATTCGATTAATTCTTTGAGTGCTTCTTGTTTTTCTCTTTTCACTCTCACTCTCTCTCTCCCCATCTCTTTCTCTGTGTCTGTCTCTTTCTGTTAACTTGACCATTTCAATTATCAGCCAGTTTGCCATAAATTTGCCAGTGAATTCAAATGGGCGCATTTGATAACACGAAAAGCGCCACAAAGTCGCTTGTTTACACTCGCCATGCAATCCTGACCCATTGAACCACCCATGCCACCGCCACACACACACACACACACACACACATATATATATATATATATATATAGAGACCCAATCAGTGCTGTTGGCCACAGCTGCGCTCGTCGCCTGTAATCCCGTAGCTGGCCGGTTTTGTGCTGGCTGCACTTGTAATGCGGCTTAAAAGGGAACACCATTTTATGGCATATACCCATCTGGGGGCATTTCCATTTCCATTTCCATTTGGTTTTTCTTTTCTGTTTCTGTGTGTTACCCTTGGCCACTTTTCGCGCGCATTTTGAATACATTTTTGAATCAGTGTCGAGGCTGTTTACTTTTTATGCCACTTTTTTGTACAGCTCCAGATCCAGCTACAGCACCAGCTTCAGTGGCGACTCCATTCGGCGTCGTCGTTGTCGGCAGCAACAGACATCGTTGTTGTCGTTGTATTTTATGCGATTTGTGTACTTCCGGCTTAGTGGATCACAGTTGGGAGTGGAGCTGTTGCATATGTATGTGTGGGTGTATGTGTGTGTGTGTGTGTGTTGCCAATCCCAAAACGAGTCACATCCTTTGGACACTGGGCACTCTGATGTTTTCTTTGCCCGCCTGTTTTTAATTGCACGCCCCGCTCAAATAGGATTTGTGCATTGTTTTCTGTGGTGGATTTTATACATACACATTACAATTCCCGCTCCCCGCTTCCCGCTTACTGCTCTTCCCTCACCATTCATTTATTTTGTTGCTGCTGCATTAAATGAAATCTTAGAGCTGCATTTTTTGTGCCCAACACTTTTGGTTGCATTTAAATGTCAGTTTAATTCAATACCCAGAACGAGTCTCTAATGCGACTCAACGAACAATGGAGCAGAGCGGAAAGGGGATGGGGTGTTTCGGCTATTGTTGCAAGTTGCAACTGTAATTAAATTGTGGTCAAAGTGTGCCCAGCGTGGCAGATACTTTTTGTACATGCTTAGTCAATCTGAATGGATGCATTTGAGCAGTCCGACTTTGTTTAAGGATACTTTGAAAACTGATTTGGCATCTAGTTCAATACACACAAAATCATATAGAAATTTTAATTGTTATCCATCAACTTTGTAGCAACTTCGACGATAGTAAAATGGTAATTGTTGAACCCATTAAAAATGGTTAAAAAGCGTATAATTGTTTTGTGCAATAGTGTGAAACAGGCAGAAGGAAGCATATCCGACCCCATAAGGTGTATATATTCTTGATCAGGATCAGCAGACGAGTCGATGTAACCATATCCGTCTGTTTATCTTTTTGAATATGCGGATCTTAGTGACAATAAGAGCAAGATACTTCAAATCAGATTAAGATTATTTCATTTTATCGATAGCTCAATTTAAATATATTGTACATTAATCGGATTAGGAATAGCTATATACTCTTTTATCGATCTTATTAACTGCTGGGTTGAGGGTATTTCATAGTCGAGTCACATTCGACTACAGCATTCTGAAGTGATTTATTTGAATGAAACTTAAAGAGTATCAATAACACTTATTTAAATGGATTGCTCAACTCTTCTCACGATAACTTCATGAATCACTTATTAATTGATATGCTATAAACAAATATAATATATATATATATATTTATATATAGAAAAATATGCGAATAAGTGAAAAAGCAAAGTTTGAATGAATATAAAATGTTTATTTTGATATGGCTTTCGATGGAGAGCAGCGCTCAATGCTGATTCAACCTCAATAAATGGCAACCGCTTTAATGTTGTTGTTTTTTGCAGTGGTTGTTGGTGTTGTGGTTGTTGTCGCAGCACAGGAGGCAAATTGACAAAAGGACAAATGAAAGTCAAACGCGCTGAGCCGTGAAAACAATGAAAATTGAAATCCAATAAGAAACTAGCAATAAATTAATTTTAAATTTAATTAAAAGCCGAAGCGCTTTGGCGAGGTGAATAAAGGGGAAGTGGGGCAACGTTATGTTGTGCGGAGTGTGGGGCAGGAATTCTTATACATATATTGTTTGGGTAGTGGGGGGATCGCACCTGCACCACAGCGTTCAGTGGGCGTGTCGAGCTCAATTATGAACAACACGGCATGCAAAATAATTTGCATGTAAATATTTAAAATGCCGCTGACGTGGTGGCAAACTCATTTGTTTGCAACAACAACAACACACACACACAAACAAACACACGCACATACGTATGTGGCATTTAAGCAGCGCAATGTATACATGGAAATGTAAATATATACACGTGTTTACAGAGCAGAGCAGAGCAATGGGGGAAGGCAAAGTAGAAGAAAGATGATGTTTTTTAGGGGAAAGAAAATAACTTGAATAATATGCGCAAATACTCCGAGTATACATATATATATATATATGTGTGTGTGAGGTGTGTATATAATTACAAAGCACACACACAAAAACACAACACAAAATGTCTGCATAAATATTTATTGTGTGTTCAATTTGTATTGCCAACGGCAATCGTTCTTTCTCCCTTTGTCCACACACGGCGTATGAGTGATTTTTGTTTGGATTTTGATTCACAGACAGCACATAAGCAGGAGTCAGCTTTAATATATAGATATATGTAATTTATTTGTGGTTAATCGGGCTGTGGTCACTGTTGCATTGTAATTATTATTTTAAAAACGATTTCTTATGTAATTTATTGTAAATAATTTATTTAATTCAATTTTGGCAACAACTGCCTTTGATTCGTTTTTGACATGCCAAATTAGATGCCAATTTGCTTAAATTATTGTTGTAAAAATAATGTAAATGATTGCAAATATGACTAATTAAATCTGTAAATAATTCCAGTGGAAATAATTGAAATAGACGTGCTCAATTAAGCAAAAGCAAATTTTCACATATACAATTATTTTACTATTAGTTCAACTAAAATAATATGTATTATCTGGCATTTTCTATTATGGAGCTAATAGAAAATCGGATTTTCTTAACTTTTTGAAACCTAAATTAAATTATTAATTTAACTTGTCTTTGCTCTGACTTCTTCACACTCACTAAGAGTTCTTACTGGCTTGAAGAATGTGTAACTTCTGTGAAAAATTGTGAAAAACTAGCAGCCTGATTGTCATTAAATATAACTTTTTTTTTTATAACTTTTATGCCAATTTCCTTTCACATGATGCACAAAATAAAGGCCAGTTTAATATGCTTAATAAAATAAAAATAAGTGCAAAAGCACTTTGTTTTATACGAAGCCATAAACTTTATGCATCCAGATTCCCGTGACTCTGCCACATATAACACAAAGCAAAATTAAATAAAAGGCCGACTAAGAACACCAAAAAAAAAAAAAAGACAGAAACAGCAACTGAAGCAGGTACAACAAAAAAAGGAAACAGAAACAGAAGCAGAAGCAGGAACAGATGATGTATAAAAACGTCAACGGCGACATGGAAAAGTTGTAAGTGTCAGTTCAAATAGCAGTTGTGGGACAGAGTGCAAGGGAGGGGGTGAAGGGGCACATTTAGTGTACGGTGTTAAAACATAAAAAAGAGGCAAGAATTTTTGGCGGCAACATTCGGTGCTGTTTTTGACACCTGCGCACACTGTTTGTGCCACCACCCCCCTCGAAGACGGGAAATGAGAAAATAAGCAGCGGCAGACGAGCAAAAGGTGGTAAAAATGAGAGGGCCGTGTGTGGGGAGGTGGGGTGGGGGGTGGTTGGCGGCGAAAGCACGGGGTTCACTGATAGCTGTGACGATAAAAGAACCCAAGTTGGACAGCATTTTAAAGTCGCCTTTAACTTTTTACGTTTGTGCAGCGAATCGAGCGAAATGTTTCCAAATTGCCCGTCTAATTGGCATGCAAAGGTCGTCTGCAGGTCACTGAGTGCCCCGCGCCAATTGTGGCACTCGCCACCACTTGGCATCTTTGCTTGCAACGAATCCTTGTTAAGGTTCCATTCCCAAAAAGTTATTTCTCATCTGTAACTGTGACTTATCTGAGCTGAAGAGCTTTTAAGACAATTAAGCATTAGCAGTTATAAATACGAAATGTATTTATTATTTTTAAGTCTCTCTTTCTCTCTCTCACCCTTTTTCTCTCTCTTGCATTATCTTACTTAACTATCAGTTGCCTGCTTACTTAACTATCTATCTGTAGTGCAAATCAAAACACAGACGCAGCTTTTGCACCTGTCTCATTCTACTACGCAAAGAGAATTATCTGGCAGCAAGCAGCACGTGCTGTCGGCCGAACAGCTGTTGGCACGTAAACAAACCCCATATGATGCAGAGAGTCGATAACAATGTTTTGGCTCTCTTTGCTCTCATGCAGAGCTTTCACGCGCTCAGATAACTTGAACCGTTTCGCTCAGCGCTGAGGAATAACTTCACTTTCATTTTACAGTTACAGCAGTGATAGCTTTTCGGCTGTCGCGTTCAGTTTGCCGTTGCAAGCCAAAGCTTAAGGTCGTCGTGTGCTTATTATTATTATCATTTTACGCTTGTCAAATTGCTGCCCTCGCACATTGTTAAAGCTTCGAGCAGGTCGCGACGCGCGCTCAGTCCTTGTGCAAACGGCGGCACGACAGCACAGTCTCCTATTCCTCTGCGTCCGGCTAATCATTGTGCAAACCAAAAAAAAAAAAACAAATAAAATACATTCTGTAAGTCGCCAGTCGTCGCATTGTGTAATGATTTGCCATGTTTTGTTTAAAAAATTAATGTTAATGTAAAAACAAATGACAAATAATTCAGCTAAAGTGTTTGCGTGTGCCTCATTCATCAATCGCCAGATGCAAATTCGTAATTTGTGTTTCACTTGACTTGATTTGTTTTTATATTGCTTATATTCGCCACATGCACTGCATCCCTGAAGTGTGTCCTGTTTTGATGTTTTTGTTTTTTATTGCCACGTTCGCTTTTAGACCCTTTTTCATCCTTTTCGTCCTCCCCTCGAGGGTCCTCTAACTTTTGCATAAATTATTCTGTTGCTGCAATAAAAACCGATGGCAAACATTAATCGGGCCACTTTTGTAATTATTTTTGCATCGTTTGTATTTTTTTACTAGTGACAGAATTACGTAGCTATTTTTTAACATATGTCCAAAAATAATACTATGTTGGTTTGATGCAAATAACTGTTCAGCTGGATTACTAAAAAAACATACTCATTATTCATTTAAGTGCAGAAAAATGCAAATACAAGAAGAAATTGTGTCTTTGTTTAAAATATAAGCAGTAAATGAATTTGTTTGTATATTAAACAAATTACCCAAAATTGCCTTCCTAATAAACAAATATGAGTTTTTAATTTTTACAATATTTCGCACGTAATATCAGCTTTTAACTGTTGCGGTTTATATCTTACCACCAAATAATGTTATTTTTGTATATTGTCTATTTTATGCTCTGGAAATCTTTTTCTTTATTTAACTCTCACCAGAAATAAATGTGATTTTTTATATTTTTTAAAAATATTCAAAAAGTCTAAGGTATATATTAAGCAATTAATATACACTCCAGAATATGCAGTTTTTATATCTGAAGCTCAAGTGTAATAAATACTTTCAAGGAGGTCATCATTAATTATCTATATCTATTGGATTTAGATGTCTTTCTAAAAAAAATGGTCGCATCTTGAATGTTTTTGAACGGCACTCAAATAAATGTCTTTTTGCTTGTGAATGTAATAAATTAATGTAGAATGCTTGTGGTATAATGTATAATAAACCATCTCATTGCGAACCATCAGTCAACTTTCTCGAGTTCCACTCGAGATCCAGTATAAAAATGACAGCCATTGCTCAGTTCAGTTCAGTTCAGTTCCGTTCAGTTCAGTTCAGCTCTGGCAGTGTCCTTCAATCATTCCCTCATTCAGTTTGCCACATCATTCTTCATTAGAGCAACGACATGTCAAGGACTTTTAGCTGCCGCACAATTTTTGGCCGCTTTTTGATATTTTCTCAGTTGCAAATATAAAATGCTATATATATGGGTGGGTGCAAAAAAAAAAAAAAATGAAAAAATGTAGGAAAAAAACTGCAATGCAAAGCGCAAAAATGTGAACCAACAAAAATCTGTGTAGCATGCGGCAGGCAAACGGTGCGCTCTAGAGCTTGAAAAATTGCAACAATTAGTGTGCCTGGGGGTCAACTAACGAACCAAACCAAAGCAAACCAAACTGGCCAACGAATCCTGCTAAAACCAACTTGTGCACACCCAAGAAATATGTGACACCTATTTTTTGGCCGCCCTTAATTTTTTTTGCTGTGCGGCAGATGCTAACCAGAAAGTATTATTTTTTTTTGTTGTTGTTAGAGAGAATGTCTGATAGTAAAGTTGGGCTAAAGAGTGAGAATTTGTTGCAATTAAAGTTAATCTTAAAGACCCCATAAATAATAAAATAAATGTTGGGCTCTGCACTTTCAGTTTTCCAAAGTATTTAAATAAAATAATTGAATATTCAAACTCATCCTCTTCGCAGATAATATCTCAAAATATCCAGCTAAATGTCACAATATTTTTTTGTAACAATTACAATGACCCATTTTATGTAATTAATTGCTTAACAATTAATAACAAATATTGCACATCGAATAATATTAGGGATTGTGAAATCAACTTTTTGCATATTATATATTCATAACAATGCAATGTTATTATTTTTTCTGATAGCATTATTTCTGGCATTTTATTACACGCATTAATTGCGCAATTGCGAAATGCAACAATAAGCGAGAAGGTGGACGCAGTCAAATACATAAATTATAATTGTGAAAAATACGAAGCATTTAAAGTGTCAAGTGCGAAGTGAGAAAGTGAGAAATGAGCCACTGCAATTGGCCACACAATCGGAATCTGTATCAGCACCAGAACCAGAACCAGAAGCAGAATCGCAATCGGAATCTGCTGCTACAACAAAGGCAAAGGAAACCGTTACAGATGCAGAATCAACAAGCGAACCACAGTGAAAGGAGCAACCAAGGATCAACCAGAATCGCCAGGCCGATGAGGCAGAACAATAGCGCTGCCGGTGCAGCTTACAGCTGCGGATTTGGTTTGCGGACGCAGTCCTTGCTGCTACTGCTGCTGCTCATTGGACTCCAGCTGCTGGCGGAGACACAGTCAACGCCATCGCCCTCATCCATGCAATCGCCACAAAAGAGAGGTAATCACAACGACTTCTCATCTAAGTTTTCCTTTCTTTTCCTTTTCTTTCTCGATACAATTTTGCAGTGGGTATTTTCATTTTAATTCTGCTCCAAACTCAGCAGTTAATGAGTGTTATCAAAAATCCTACAATTGTAATCAATATCTGATAAGTATCTCATAAATATTGCCCCCATGGGAACCTTCGTCCATTAATCTCAAAATTATTAATTTATTTTCTTTTATTTTCCTTATACGCTTTCGAAGAGGGAATTCGAAGAGGGAATTTTTATTTTAATGCGTTAATGAGTGTTATCATAGACCAAAAATTGTGGCTAAAAGTGATCAACATCTGATAAGTATATCATATATGATCGGTAAGCAGTTTAAGCCTACTCTGGCTATAGAGTATCTATGTAGTTCAGCTTCTCAACAAAAGATGGCTGTTTCAATTCTGTTGTATTATTCCTGTTGCTGGCGGGCAACGGCGTCGCCGTTTCCATTGTGGCTCGTGGAAATGGCAAATAAATGTCAAATAACAGTGGCAAGCACCGCAACTGTCCCGCTACTTGCTCCTACTGCTTCTGCACACATGTTTCGAGATATTGGCCATTGTTGTGTATGCTTTTGTGGGTGTTTATGGGGCATGGTGGGTAAATAGGCAAAAGACGTCAGCACAAAAGCGCACCACGTTGCGTATACGCGATGTTGTTATAGTTATTGTTGTCGTTTGCCCATGCCCAGGCAGCTCCAAACTGCCGCTGACATCTTGGGCTTGCCTTTGATATTAACCCATCCAGCGGTTTGAGGGGGGCACAGGAGAGTTGGTAGCATTTTATTAACATTGCATTGCCTTCAACTGACGCTGACATAATAGAAAATTGAATTGCTGCAAGTTGAATGGCAGCAGGGAGGGATGAAGTGGGGGGTTGGTGGATGTTAAGTAGGACTTCGCCATCGACTTGGTGGCGATGCAATTAGGTGAACAGCGTTGAAGGACGCAGGGCATAATTAAGGTCATGGCAAGTAAATTGCATAGCACAGATAATCGCAAATGTTGATGATGATGATGATGTTGTCAGTGTTGTTATTGTTTCTGATGTTGCAAGTGGCACAATTGATCATCAAGTGAATCAGGTTAAGCGATTTAAGTAAATAAGTTAAATTGAAACTGCTGCGGCTAGTTGCAGTGTCAATTTCACTTTTTCCTTTTGTGGAAAATTTAAATAAACCATTGGGGGTTATTTATAACTATAACTGGTGGGAATTAAGTGATAATTAATAATGAATAAATAATATATTTTTTATATATATTATATAGCTAGCCTTAAGCAGATTTTTAAAATATATTTCTAGCTTATTTCTTAATATTGTTCACTTAATATTTACTTCAAAGTGCAAACGAAAGCAAATCAATTTTTTGAGGTATTAGCGGGAAATACATTTAAGCCGCCTAAAGGCGAGTTGAGAATTGTAAAGTGCGAACGTAATTAATATTTTAAGCATGACGCAGCTGAACAATGAGCACAAAATGAATTAATCTAATCGCAACCTTTTCTTTTCTCTAATGTACTTAAAAATAAAAGAGCCCTAATGAATTTGGGCTTGTCACGTTTTACATTCGATGTGGCGAAAAAGAAAAGTTTTCCGCCTACAATATTCAAGTTCTCCGATCTTCAACCTCACACTCAAAACAATATAATCTTTAATTTCCAGTTAGCTCAGAAGTTTCACAAGTGCTTCAGTGCCTAATCCATTTAGTCTCAGATTCACATTCCCCTGGGAAAACAATCTGCACATCTTCATGGTTGGCTTTTGCTTTTGCTTTTGCTTGCTTTGACTACGCATTGAATTTCTTTATTTTTTCAAATATATTTAAGAGATACATTGTAGTAAAATTAAGCGGCATCCAATTACTTAAATTATTCAAAAATCCAGAGAGAGCATTCGAGTTGAGCTGCTACCTTGCCACCTTACCTCACTTCGTGTTGCTAGCTGACCAGAAAGAGTGTAGGGTCCTCCTGGTCCTTCTGTTGTGTCCTGTGTCATTTGTCTTGTGAACTTTATTGAGCTGAACTATATCAACTGGCGATGGTTGCCTGTCCTGTTCTGTGGTCCTGTCGTCCTATTGTCCTTGTGTTTGCTTTCTGTATGGAACTTTTGCTTTCATTCGACGCAGGGGAGCAATATGGTGTTGTCCTAGCTGGGCGGCTGTTTTTTTTCCTGCTGCTGCTGCTGCTTCTGCCACTTGGTCATCTTTGCTGTAAGCCGTGGCAAGAAGTTGACTCCATGACCGTCACAGATGCCGCGACTCGACTCGACTAGACTCGAGTGCTGCCAATTCCAACAACATGCTTCATTTTATTATGCAAGGCATAAGAAAAAAAAGTATCTTACCAAAAACTTGCTGGTGCTTTATACTATAAAGCTATATAGCGAAACAAAATAAGAAAAAAAGACAAACTTGACGCGACATTGTCGTAAATAAGAAGCAAAAACTTTGCCATCTATCTCCCCCCCTCTCTCTCTCTCTCTCTCTCTCTCTCTCTCTCTCTCTCTGTCTCTTTCCGTCTCGCTTCCAGTCCAGCTCTGTCTCTTTGTTGTATTCTGGTATCAGAGAGACAATGCAGAAAAAAAGCATAAAAGAACAACTTGTGAATGAATATGATAAGTTTGTTGTTATTGTTGCCGTCTCACGTCTTATTACTGTTGCTGTTGCTGTTGTTGTTGTTGTGGCTCCTGAGGGAGGGAGGGGTGTGGTGTGGTGTGGATGCCATAAATTTCGTGCTAATCCAATGTGGGCACAGTTTATAGGTGAAGTGAACTTTATGGATACTTGAGCGCAAAGTTGTAGATACTTTATCCTGTTTCTTCATATGCATGAATGTCTCATAGCTTATATGCGAGACGATGTGCGTCTGTGTGTGTGTGCGGGTGTGTGTGTGGGTGTGTGTGCGGGTGTGGATGGCTGTGGGTGTGTGTTTCTGTGTGTGTTGTTGTATGTCGTTTGAAAGTTTTATGGCTTGTGAAGCATGAAATGTGCAACAAATTGTATCTCACAGATAACTTGAGAAAGCGAGAGAGAGAGAGAGAGAGAGTGAGACAGATTGAAATTGAAAATTGTTCAATGATGTGTTTAATATGGACCAAGTCAATAAACTTGGCTTGTCCTAAATGAGATACTAGCATAAAGCAGAAGTAATTGCTGTACCGCAACCCTAACTAAGTTATGGCCAAAAGCAAAGAGCTAACTTAAATTGTGTCAGTCGCATAAATTTACAAACTCTGATTTGAATAAGCCACTTTTCAACTTTAGCCTAAAGTTCGTAGTTTGTGTAAATTCTTCAAAGTTAGCACTGCAATCAATGATTTATTTTGCAAAAGAAAGCCACATCAAATGAAATGTGTTATTAATCTACCAGGTCTAACAGGATATGTAATCTTAACTGATTGTTCCTCTCAGCTGATTGTTCCTCTCAACTGATTGTTCCTCTCAACTGATTGTTCCTCTCAACTGATTGTTCCTCTCAGCTGATTGTTCCTATGTCATCTGACATAGTCGTTCGATGTGGTTATCTCCGACTTATGCAAAAATATACTTGTCATTATAGAAACTGCAATAAATTATTCGAGGACATTCTTTGCCAGCTTCGCTAGACTTATTTATTTTGCCTCAATTTAAGCTTAAACCACACATTTGACCTCAAAGAAACGCTTCAGATAGTAGATCTCCAGCAGCGTCATGGTCAGCAGCAACGATGGCCCAAAGATGGACCAGGCTACAATGCGAAAGTGAGCGCTATCGTTGATCTCCTGGTGTCCTTTGTAGCGCACATGCATATACTCCTGTTCGTACTTGATGGCCGTCATCAGACTGGCCAGCTCATTGATGTTCGCCTGCAGGACGGACTGCTCGACGACATCGTCGCTGCGCTTATGCGGATCGTTGTAGTGGGTCAGATCCCGGACGACTATGAAATGAAACATTAGGATTTTGGGCGTCAATGTGGACTTTTCGTTGTCAAAGCAGAGCGTGTATTGGCCATCGTTAATTGCGGCAAACGTATATTTGCCACTGGTCTCCGATTCCGCCTCATATAGTCGATCATCGTTTGGTCCTGAAATATGCACGGCAATGTCCTTGAAGCCGCCCTCCATCACCTCAAAGCTAATTGTGACCTTGTCCTTTTCTTGGGCGCGATCAAAGAAACAAATCGTTTCATGAGAATCGACAGTGATCAGAAACCCGCAAACAACTCGACAAATTGTTAAAAAGCACATGAGAAATGCAAACATTTTTGAAAATTGTTTTCGAGTTGTTCGTATTGAAAATAGCAATGCTATGATTTTTAAAACTTTAGTTAAGTTTGAGTATTTCGCTTTGCATACTTGATTTAAACAAGCTAAACTTGAGTTGATGGTGTCAAATAATCAATTAAATTTGTATTTATTTCAATTGGCATCAATTTACAAGTGAAGAATAAAAATACATATCGACTAAAGTCAATTTGAGTAGCATCGATTTACAAGAGAAGAAGAATAGGTAATGTTTAAATTATATATATTTTACTTAGCATTGTTTGTTTATTGTTAATTTCTGATTGGCTGCTTGGCTTGGTAAAATAGCCAATGGTTATTGAATTGCAATTAGGTACATTAAACAATTACATAATGAATAATTGATGTCACTCCTAATTGTGGGATTTTGGTAGACATTTGCTGCTTTTAACTCAAAACTCACCCACCCAAAACTCAATGGCCAAAAATACAAACACTACTCAAATCTAATTAAGATGATAAAAGCAATCTGCAAATTGGCAGCTGTCCTGTCCTGTCCTGCCCTGCCCTGCCCTGCCCTGCCATGTCCTGTCCTGTCTCTCCAATGCACTCCATTCCATTTCCATCGCCTGTCCATCCCTTTTGCGCATCCTGCGCTTCAATCTGCTTTCACAACGGGCGTAATGCATATTTTATGTTATCGATTTCTTGGATCGGGGCGCGGCCATCAATTGCCAAAATGTCATCCATTTTTAATGCCATCGGGGCCAACGTTTTGAAGTGTGCTCTCTAAAAAGCAAACAGTGTTTTAATTTCAACATTCACCCTCAACCCCTAAAAATGCGTGCAGAGAGCAAACCAAACTTCACTTTAATTACAAAACAATTGTCGAACAAATGCGATTTATAACTTTATCAACAACAATGCAAATAAAAAAAACTGTAAAATCAATTTATGTAGCAATAAATTTCAATAGTTTCAACTTGCCCAATTCGAAACTGAATCGACAAAAAAATTATAATAAAATACAATAAAAAGTTCAGTTTTGGGTGATATTTCAATGTCCGGCTCGGAATCCAATTAAGTCCAAGTGCTAAATCGTTGTTGCATGTATTTTATTTCTATTAGGTTTAATTGGGAATTAATTTTTATATGCATCATAAATATGTAGTATTTTAAATAATATTCCGATCCTTTCAAAATCAGTTTAGTTTTTGACCAAATTATAGCTGAGCTAAGTCTTTAAATATTTGATATTCATTTTAAATGCATTCAAAGCCAAAAACGCAATTGTGATTTGAAATTCAAGCTAAAGTTCTTTCCGCAAAAATGGCTTATGGTGTCAAGTGTCAAAAATTCTCCGAGCTTTAACTAAGTAAAAATGGAACCCGATTTTCAAAAACTTTACTACTCTGTAGGATAACCAGAAACCAAAGAAGACTTTACAGCAAACTTCGTATAAACTATGAACTTTTACGTTACGCGTTTCAATTAAATGCCACTTACTAGAATTACAGCATATTCAAATTGTTATTCTGTCTAAGCCATGTTCAATTTGCATATCTTAAATAACTTGCATTCCGCTATTGAGTTGAACGTTTACTTTTTGCCAGAGAGCGAGTGCGACGCGACTCCTTCGACAAAGATAGACACTCAACTATTTCAAACAAAAGCAGATTATACAGGGCATGATGTGTAGCCCAACGGGTCCATCCCACCCCTGCTACCTACACCACCCCCTTCTGCCAACTAAATATGGCAACGGTAAATGGTTTTCCTTCCCTTTTGCCCATTGGCCAAACATTTTACAACTATTTGCTGTGTGTTTTTTGTTGCTTTCGTTTTTTGTACTTTCATTTTTCTTTTTCGTTTTTCGTTTTTTTTTTCCGCTAGTTTGTTTTTTGCGCTCTTTGAATATCTTTTATGATATTCAATTTCAAATTCTAATGCTGTAAGCGATTAAGTACACGCTTTACGCCACTTAACTTCATGTCTATGTTAAGCGGAGGCAACACGCCTCCCTCGCCTCCCCGCCCACCCACATGCAACACTTTTGCGACCGTCATAGGTCGCATTTGCCGACTACGGTTACTTTTGAAGCCACGCGTGGTGCTCAGCCGACACTTGACTCCGGACTCCGCACTCCGCACTCCGCACTCCACACTCCTTGCCCCTGCCGGCAGTCACATTCTCATTCTCGTCATCATCATCATGCTGCCATCGACGCTCTTAAGCGCCAAAGTCTGTGACGGTAGTGTGAAATGTTTCTTTCTTTTTTTTCTTTTTTTTTCTTCTTTTTTTTTCTACTTTTTTTTGTTGTTTTCTCTTGCGTGCTTAAGGACTTTTTGCGTTACGTTGTAGTCTCCTTGGAGCCGCCGCTGGATATATGATGTGCTTGCAGCTTAGCGGCCTGAGTTGCCGAAACTCCCGAAATACTTAAGTCGAGCGACAGATTTCGTTTCGTCTCGTTTCGTCTCGTTTCGTGTCACTTCGTTGTCGGTTCATATTTTTGGCCAGTGTAGCTTTAAGCGGCTTAAATTGCGTATACGCCCCCATGCTGTGTCTGGCTGTAATGACTGCCAGTGCTTCACTGTAGGCACTTATTTTGCATTTCTAGTAGCCGCACACTCACATGACCTAAGGCCAAACTTTTTGGACACTTTCTTCCATTTTCTTTTCTTCTCGTTTTTTTTCTTTTGTTTTTTTTTTCTTTTTTTTTTTTTTTTTGGTTGGTTGCCAGCCACTCAATTATTGCTGTTATTGGACACGCCCCGGAAAGCAGGCCGAAACGAAAAGTTTCACGTGCGTGACATTTACCTGTGTGCTCTCACTAACATCATTCCCTTTAGCTGTTGCTGTCGCTGGTTGTGGGCTTCATCAAATCATTTTTGTGGCCAATGCACTCGTGCGTGCTCTAATTTGTTTGGCTAGCAAGGAAACGCCGGCTTTCGCAGCCATTTTTCTGCGTGTGTACCGTTGATTGCCTCTCTGCAGTCCTAGTCGCATTTTAATGCCTTTTTAAAGGTGCAAATGATTTCGTTTCACTCAGAGCCCGTCCAACTTTTTTTTTGCTTCCTTTCTTTCTGTCTTTCTTGTGCTTGGCCGCTCGACAAAGGCTCGCATTAGCCTAATTTTTGTATTGTCGCACGTGACGCAATGAGGGGCGCCGCGGGCGTTGCTGAAAGTGGAGTGTGTGTGTGTGCGTGTGTGGCATGGACAAGCCTAGAGTTGTGGTAGCTGTGTGTGAAATTAAGAAATTACCATAAATGGAAAACTTTGTGCGTCACTCAGACCGAGCACAAACAGCATCAAAAATTTGCGCAAATACAAATTTTTTGGGTTGCCTACTTATTTGGGCTCCATTGAAATTTGCATTCGACTAGTTAAAATAAACTAACATGACTGAAACAGAACAGAGCTGGTTTCAATTTACTTACGGCCTTTCTGCTGGTAAATATTATTAAATCAGTTTGAAAATGATTTCCTTATGGCAAACTTACAAATATAAATATAAACATAAAAAACGTTTTATTAACCTCATTTGTAATTAGAAAAAATCCAAATCATTTGCACAGTATCTAATTGATTCCTTGGGCTTTCTTAAGAAACCTCTTCTGCCAGCTAGTGGGGACAAAAAAACCGAGTAGTCTTAAGTATGACAAGCAAGGGCTCAGCATTGCTGTAAAATCTTGCTAATCTGCACTTGAGCAAAGTACTTGAGCACAAGCGATGAAAGCGGGGAGAGAGGCGGAAGAGAGATGCGTGTGGATGGGGGGCGTGGTATGCAGTGGTGTGGGGTAAAGCGAAAAGAAAGTAAACCGAGAATTGAGGCAAACAAACGGCTGGGAATGAGCTGCAAAAAGGCTCAAGTATTGACAATGGCAACAAGGATATTGGCGAGGCAATTGGGCGTTTCTTTCGTGCATGATGTGTGTAATGGGCTAATGGGCGTGGCTACATGTGAGGGCGATGTGTGTGTGTGTGTGTGTGTGTCTGTGCCCATGACAACAAATTGGCAAATTTTGTGTAAAGATTTATTTCAATTGAAATTGCCCGCCATGAGCTGTCAACATGAGTTCGCTCGCTGCCTGCGTCGGCTCGGCTCGGCTCGGCATAAGTCAGCTAACGAGCTTCAATGAGGCATGCCAAGCATTTCCGGTACATGAATAGATAGTGGATACAGAGCAGAGTGTGGTCTGTGAGGGGGGCAGACCGAAAGTTACACAGATAGGCAAGGCTTCAGCATCAAGTGGCCTGACATTGTGGAGCATTTAGAAGGAGCAATTGCTCCTTGGGCAACCAACCATTTTCCTGTCCTGCTACGAAAATTTCGTTATGTGTTGCCATAAAATTCACATTAGAATTTCCACCATTTCCTGTTAGCACAATTTTCGCAGTCAAGACATGCATCAACTGTGATTTCACTCGGAGAGTGTTTCAAACAAATTTCATGATGAATGCTGTGAAATTCAATGGCTGTGCACAAATCGTTTTCTTTATTTCTGATTCAAAAACTGCCGTTAGCCACACACCAATTTCAATCTTGTGCTCTCCTATACATATATATATATATCTCGCTTCAGCATTTAGTGTCCTTTAATTGGCAGTTTGGTTCAACAGTCGCCGAAGTTTTTCCTCTCCTTAGTTGGCCGTGCAACTCAATTAGTCGTAGTAGCACTTTCTGGTAGTGCTTGCGGCTTTATTGGTTAAGCGCTTTTTCAACTCACACCACCAATCGAGCACACACACACTCACACACACACAAGCACACACACACACTGTCATGGGAAATTTGGCATTTGTGTGTACCGTTTGCTGAGCTTGAGTAGAGTTTTTGCGGCTTTTGTGGCTGTCAGTCGGCGACCATTGACATTTGAATCGAACGACTTTGATTGAATTTAAATGATGCGTATGCTGTGCTTAATGGGGCGTTATGTGCAGATCGACGAGGAGGGGGTAGTGTCCTGTTCAATTACCTATGCATATAGATACATATGTATATAATATGCACACAAAACATTTCTTTGACAAGTTAAATCCGAGATTCTTCAGAGAAGTGA